CTTATCTTATTTTAAAACTGGGGGTGGGATATTATTGTCTACATACTGCAGGACAGTATGCAAGGTACCCTGCATAGTATATGGGTACCTATCAGGGGTGAAATGCTGCCGGCTCTATCCGGCTTGCGGGAGCTGGTAGTGCTGGCGGCAGGAAGCTCCGCCCCCCCCAACCGGGACGTCGTCACGTCCCAGAAGGCTTTGCGCATGCGCAGATGATGGCGTGTGTCCAGACGCGGGACGTGCACATCAGCAAGCCAGTAGGAAAGGTAAGTACATTTCACCCCTAGTACCTATGGTTTTATTCTCAGTTATTCACCATAATTTACCACTTTTATTGGCAAAAGACATTGCATGTGAAAGTGATACAAGCAGCCTAAGTAGATGTTATTAAAATGTACTTATAAATTAAATAAAGAAGTTGCCTGGTCTGCCACATTGGCCATGCGATTGCTTTGTCCTATGATATAAAACAATGGAAAACCATCTCAATATAAGCAAAATAAATCATAATTGCTTAACTAAGCACGAACAAGGCTTAGCCATCCCAAAAGCCAGTAATTATTGGTAAAAGAGATGACATAGAAGGAAAGTAAGTAGGCTTTCTGACTTCATTCTGTAACATCTTAATTTGAGAAGCAGAAAAACCCTTGTTTACTTAATATTCTCCCCCATTAGATGTGAGAGAACACGTAAGAGTTGATACAACTCTAACTGCATGTGTCACATTCTAATAACCTATACGGAAATAATCCTGAACAGAAAAAAGTGGGAACGCAAGATATAATCCGAACACTAATTTGACTCTAAATATCCCTCTTGAAATGCTGATTAGACTTGTTTTTTTCTTAATTAAAAGAGGGCCCAGGGAATATGAAGGACAGCTCCTGGTAGCTCCACAACTGAATCAGTCAGGAGTTGCAGGACCTTGGACAGCTCTATGCAAGCAAACCTGCTCCTACAGGAATAAAAGTAAAGACTCCCTGGAGTTGAGTTGGAATACTGGTGATTTCAAGAACATATCTATGAAGTGGTTCCCAAAGACCTTCTTCCATGAGGTATTTCAACCTCCCAGTCAAATTTACAGAGATGTCCTGGTGATCCTGGTGATGTCCTGGTGATCCAACCAAACCCTTCCCTGCTTATTTCAAGAAACACTACTTTGTTAAAAATGTTTATTCCTTGTGCCAGATATCCTTCTCTACCCTCCCTCACCTACTTTGAGGAACAGAGAAAATTAAAGGGACAGGTCTTTACATTGTAGTTTAGAAGTTTTACCACATTTTGGCTAGCTCCTACTTTTTGGCTAACAGTAATAAGCAGATACTTGGAACTATGGAGTCTCCTAATATTAGTAACATTAATTTACTTGTAAATCTAGCTTAAGGATTCCTGGCTCCATTGACATCACCACTGTGATAAGTGTAACAGGTAGTCCTGGACTTATAACCATTTGTTTAGCAACCACTCAAAGTTACAACAGCATTGAAAAAAGTAACTTACAACAGTCTTTGAACTTACAACTGTTGCAGCATTCCCACAGCCACACGGTCAAAATTGGGCACTTGGCAACTGACCCTCTATTTACAACAGTTGCAGTGTGCCAGGGTCATGTGATTGTCATTTGCGACCTTCCCAACTGACTTCTGACAAGCAAAGTCAATGGGCACTTAATGACTGTACTTTGCTTAGCCAGCAAAGTTCTGTTTTAGTATCTGGAAATGGATTCAAGCTCATCTCTAGCAAGAACATTTTGCTGAAGATTTGGGGAAGATTTGCCATCCTTGGTCATGGATGAGGCTGGAACCTGCCTGAAGAGCATGTGGTAACCATGGCTCAGAGGGCCTTTGCAGAAATCCACACTGTTCATCAATTACATCCATTCCAGGATTGGATGGTCCTATTCATGGTCATTCATGTTTCATCATCCATTCCTTCCTTTCCTTTCCTTTCCTTTCCTTTCCTTTCCTTTCCTTTCCTTTCCTTTCCTTTCCTTTCCTTTCCTTCCTTCCTTATTCATTCATTCATTCATTCATTCATTCATTTATTAGTATAAGGAAACAAGTAACAGTATAGACATAGACATGGACACATGAAAAAAATTGGTATATTGGTAAAAATTGGTAAATATATATATATATGGTATACTTATAGTAGCTAAAAGCCAGAAAGAGAAAATACTACTAAAGGCAATAAAATAAAAGAAGACACTGAATAATATCAAGCTGGTCAGCAAATTCAGTAACTGAATTATAACCAAGGAAGGCTTTGCATCCATTAGTGCCTCACTTTCTCTTTCACTGCACAATATTTTACTACAATCCAAGTTATAGAGTTTGAAATATGGAAAAAGTCAAATCATATAAAAATTGTCCATTTTCCAGAGTAATGTCAAAGCAGGGACAAACTAAAAGATACAGTATTACTAATGTCCCCATTGGTACCACAGTAAAACAACACATGCTGAACTGTTTGGATTCCCTAGTTTCCGATGAGCAAATGCATTTCTCATATGATATTTTTGAATATTTCCCTGTAACAAGAGCAAAATATTATACCAAGTATTTAAAAAGCTTTTTCTTAATTTGGGAAATGTGAAGTAGGGAAAGAAAACTGGCCACTTTCCAAAAGGTTTTGAATGCCTGTTTTTGTTTTTGTATTTTTTAGCCCAGCACTAGATTGCTTTGGATTGCTTCTGGCACAATATGCTTTTTATATGTTATTCTTTATTTGTTATTTTTGTTTTTAATTATGTGTGCTGACCTGAGTCTCATGTAGAGCAGACAGCAACATAGATTGAGTGAATGGGAAAGATTTATGAAGAACAATACAGGTAGTCCTCAACTGAGCCCAAAATTTCTGTTGGTAAGTGAAACATTTGTTAAGGGAGTTTGCAAATATCATAAATATGAATCAGTTGTCAAGCATCTGAATTTTGATCATGTGAATTTTGATCATTCTGCAATGGTTGTAAGTGTGAAAAATAGCCGTAGATCACTTTTTTCAGTGATGTTGTAATTTTGAACGGTCACTGTTGTAAGTCGAGGACTACCTGTACCATTTGTATGGTCTTCCCAAATGACATCAATGAATCTGGGGGAAGGGAAAGCTATTCCAAGACTAAGGAATGCAAATACAAATCTCAACTCTCAGCTTCTCAAATGGCAGGACTTTTAGCAGGCCTTCCCATGGTAAGCATACAGGACAGAATGGTTGTAGTTGAAGGTACCAGGAAGTAAGCCACAAGGAGTTTTATAGGTTAAAAGTGCACTTTAAACTCTAACTGGAAACCTCTTGGAACCAGTAGTGAAATTCAGGTGGTTCTATCCGGATTGGGCGAACTGGTAGCGCCGGCGCCGGCTCTATCCACCCGCCCGGACGTCATCACGTCTCATTTTTGACCCTCTGCGCGTGCGCATAAGGCTCTGCACATGTGTGAAGGAAGTGCATGCGCACTCACATTTGTGAACCGGTAGCAAAGGTAAGTGGATTTCACCTCTGCTTAGAACCCAACACATAAGAGTAGCATTATACGGTTGCAACAGCTCTTACATTTCAGCAGGTGGGCAACTATTTTTGTATCTAATTGCAGTTTCTAAGGGAGACCCATGTAAAATAAGTAACAAAAAACCTGTTGTCCAGTGGTAAGTACATGAGGTGCTGTTACTAAGGCCTTTGACTTTAAACAAGGTCACAACTAGTGTACCAGCAAAGCCAGACAAACAGCACCTCTTTCAAAGGTCTTAATTTCAGGTTTTTCTTTCCCATCCAGTCACCAAGTCTTGAAGCATTAGATCAAATTATCTTTCCCAACTGTGGCTTAACCAAAGATGGAAATATATACTTGGATTATCCTTCGTATATTTATACTTCCTCCCAAACTGACACATGATTTCAGATGTTTCCTCCCAACAGTTTTGTGTAAATGTTAAACAGCGGGAAGAGAAAGACAAGCCTTGCATCACCATGAACGCAAGCGGCATCAGGCTAACATCTCTTCTGTTTGCGTAAGAAGAAATGGAACAAACCATGCTACCAACCCCAACCATAACTGAATCCATAAGGCATTCAGGGTGAAATTTCTTGAAATTTACAGAAGGCAACAGGAAACAGGAAGTGATCTGATCACGGCAGAGAATAACAACATCCTCTGTCAGAGTGCATCCTCTGTTAAACAGCAATCAGCAATTTACAGCATGGAAGCACACACAGAGAGATACGCCCTAACAGGGCCTCTTCTTATTACAGGCTCTTAAGATGATATCAGCCAAAAAACCTTGCTGACTCATTCCTAGCATTATATCACCGTAGCAGCTGGTCACCTCTTAAACTGTTACCCTGATATCCTCCCTCCTCAGATCATAAACTAGATTCTTTGTGATAAAAGCACCTAATGTATGAGTTGGGCCTCCCACATAATATGATCGAAATCCCCTAGCACAGGGCTCCCAATCCCCTGCTACCGGTCCACAGGCTGTCAAACTGGACTGTACAAGTGGCAGGTGAGCATACAAAGCTTCATTTGTGCATGCAGGATTAGGTTGTGCACGTGAAACCATCCCTTTTCCCCCACCACTGCCACGCGCCACTGTCAGTCCGTAGAGCCAGAAAGATTGGGGACCACTACCCTAGCATCAATAGTTCAAAAAGTTCTTACAATAGCCCCACAACAAAGTCCAGGAGTATAATAATTTTCCCCATGATAAAACATTGGTTGGTCATATTTTTGTTACTCCCAAGGATTTAAATTCACACAGTACACTGCTATCCCACTGTCAATAGTAAAGAAGGCAATTTGTAAAATATGTGGATATACCTTTGAACTTTTATCTACAGTTACAAAACAGTCGATTCCATAAGTTGATCTCAAGATTCTAGAGAATTTCTATGAGCGTATCACAGGGTGGATTTGATTTAAATCATAGTTTTCTACATAAAGACTAATTCTTGCTGGTATAACTTTAATATGCAAGTAGATGAAGATTTTTAGAGTAACAACTTTTCATATTAGTTTTTTTATCCCCAGTTTAATAGGTTAATCATTCATATTTGGACAACTTTTCTGTTGTACTTAGGAAGGAGAAAAATAATCATTACCTTAATAATAACAATTTAAATAGATTTATTCAACTGAAACAATAACATTACAGCATATGTTATTTGTTTAAACAAACATCCGTTTGTTAACTAATTTGGCTAAACAAAATATATATATTTTAAGAAACTTAGACTGTCAGCCCAGCCTACACATGAAAAACTTAAATACTGTCCTCTGTAGCTCACTCGTCATCTTCATCTTCTTCTTTGTTCATAATCTGGAAAAGAAAAACAAACTTTCCTGCTTTATCGGGTCCCAAACAATTTCTCAATTTAGAATGAATGAGTCCAAAGGAAGAGAATATTCTTTCAACGCCTGCAGAAGAAGCTACTGCTGTTAAAAGTGAAATCATTACTTGAACAGTCTCTAAATCCAAGTGCTTAAGTGACTTCCACCAGTTCACTGGTGTGACTTTCTTTAAAATATCTTCAGCAAACATATATTTCTTGAATGGTTCCCCCTTAGCTTTGAAGTTTATTATAGTTGGCATTACAGATGGATGATTGCTGGATACCCATGCCATAGCTAACTCCTCTTCCTCAGCACTTAAGTTTTGACCCTGATACTGGATATTGACAATATTTGCCAAAAAATGAGCTGGAGACAATACTTGTCCCATTCGTTTTTTTAATGCTTGTAATTTAATTCTGTCCATCTGTAGTTCTGTTTTTAAGTGTTCATTCAGTTCCTTCCAAATTTCAACAGCATCAGCAATAAAACAGCTATTTTTCTGTATTTTGTTTAAAGCTTCAGAGATGGGTTTCAGGATGCTCAGCATATGTTCAACATTTCTCTTAAACCCAACGTTGAGGATTTTGGCCGTGACAGTGCCATCTATTTTATCTCGATTTTCTTCACAAATTGTCATCAGAATAGGCCAGTTCTTGATATACTGCTCAAAACAGTCCACCACAGAATTCCATCTAACATCTTGTGGAAGCATTAGCTTGGTTCCACCCATCCTTTTCAGAGCTGCTGCAGCAAAATGATTGTTACGGAAGTATTTAGCAATTTCAACAACATTAGTCTTTATTTCTGGAACACTTAAGTCTTTGGCTAAGAGGTGCAGCAAATGAGCACTGCAACCATATGTTATTAGCTTTGTATTCCCTTCCTGCTCTTCTAAATTTCTTCTCATCTTGGATACATTTGCAGCATTGTTTGTGACCAAACTGCGTACTAGACATTTGAATTTTTGTTCACATGTTATTATAGCTTTTACTGCCACTTCTTGTAAGTATTCTGCTGTGTGTGCATTTCCTGACGTATCAATTGTTTGTGCAATGAAGACTTTCCCTTCTTCTGTTGTTATACAAGCACATACAATAGGATCATTGTGGACATTACTCTACCCATCAATAGTTAGGTTAACAATTCTACCCTCCAGAGCTGTTGCACATTGCTCCATTTCTCTGTCATACACTTATCCAGCAGTTTCCCTGCAACATCTACTCTGTTGGGTGGACTGTATCCTGGTCTCAGTGACTGAACCATATTAATGAAATGTGGGTTCTCAGTCAGACGGAAAGAAGAGTTCGTTGCATAAACAAACTGGGCAATTTTTTCATCAATTAACTCTTTTTCTAATCTGCTAGTTTTTATCACAAATTTATCTATGGTGGTTCCAGGAGGGAAGGGTTTTTTTCTTTCTTTTAGGTGATAGTGATATGTGGCTGTGGGTGTCTGATGATGATGATGCTAATGAAGCACTATCCTGGATGAATAACTCTGAAACTGTAGAACAGGAGGATGGTGATCTTGAAGGTGGATTGTTTCCAGAATCCATGAATTCCCCTAAACAAAAAAGTCAATGCTGTTATTTTATTGTTTATACAATTTCTGCTTATTGTACACAGCACTGCCCCAAAAGGAATATTTGCTTTTCTTCATAACTGTACCAAATGACAGTAACATGCAGTAATAATAAGAAATATAATTTTGCTCAAACATGACAGTTCAAGGCAGTCTTTAGAAATATGATTCAATAAAAATGTTTACCAACCTGAAGATCCTGCCTGTTCAAATGTGTTTCTTTGGTCATCTTCATCACAGCACTTCTCATGATGTTGCCTCATTCGGGCCACCAGGCCTTGCATTTCTTTGTTGCAGTGTTTGCAGTTTGCACGCATGTCTGCCTTACCGATAGGTAAAGGAACTTCATTAAAATATTGCCAAACTGGGTCTCTTTTACGGCCTGCTGCCATTATAGGTTTTTTCCTCCAAGGAAAGAATGTGATAAACCTCAGGTCATACACACAAAAAGATCCAAAGACTTGTCTGTCTGTGGCTGTGCAGTATTGTGCTCAGAAAGTTTCACTTTCATTTTGTACTGGTTGTCTGCTTGCCCCTTCCTCCTCACACTTAGTTTCACTTCCTTCTTGTGCAGAACTCTTCCACTCCAAACAATCAGAAAAATATTGTTTCTATTCTATTCACTGAACTTCTTGAAACTTAGCACTGAAGGGGTTGATTCTGTATTCATAGGTTTGTAGAACAATAGGATTAAGATCTTTTTCTCAACTCTGTTCATGTTATAACATTTTTGCTGTGAAGAAGAGGCATGTGATCTCTGATGAGTCAAATTCAGTTTTGAGAACTGCAAAAGTAAACCAAGCATCTGTGATAATATCTTGTAGGCAGAGAAACTGCCCAATAATCTTACAAAAACCTCTGGAAGAGCATGACATTGTGAATGGATTAATGGAATTTATTTACCAAAAAAATTAATCATATACAGCCTTATTCTACATAATTAAAAAACTAATCTTTATTTCATGATGGAATAACCTTTGGATGGTAATATATTTTCCTCAAAAAGCATTTTATTTAAAAAAATCTGATTTAAATCAAAAAAATCCGATTTAAATCAAAAAAATCCGATTTAAATAAAAACAATCTGATTTTTTTTATTTTTTAAAAAAATCATTGTTTTTTATCCACCCTGGCTTATCATTTGGATTCATTGAATTCCACTAATTAAACAAGCATGAAGAGATGCCTGAAGATCTATTCAAATATACGGTATTGAAGCAACTGAAGCAGTGGATGTAAATTCATAAAGAATATGAATGTTTAAGTAAAAATGCACTAAATCCCCTTTGCTACATCCCCCAATTTTGGCAGTTGAAGTCCAGAAATCTTAAAATTGCCAAGGCTGGAAAACAATGCATTAATATAATTGAAAATAAAAATTAAAACCCATTTATTTCAATACTCTCTTTTAACATTTCTTTTGTTTTAAGAACCAAGCATGGATCCCTAAAACCTGTTTAATATTTAAGAACTGCTTTTAGTAGACATGATTTTGCGATAATTTGCAACCATAATTGCAAAATTACAAATCTTTTCCTATGCTAAATTTCTTTCATTATTAAACACAGGATAGCACTAACTAACATTCTAATAATTACATCGCAAGCAAGAACTACATTGCATTAAAAATGCAGCATGATGCTTACCGTGTAAATGCCAATTCTACAAACAGCAAATGAAAGCTGGATACATTCAGACATTTTCTAAAAAAATTGAAATAAGCATTACCAAGTATTATTATTGTTGGAAAAAGGAAAGGATTCCTCAAAAAAAGCTCACAAATACATGTGATGTGTTCTCCCACCACCTCCAGCAGAACTGGAATCTGCTGTTCATGTTTAAACTTGACAAATCAACAAATGTAATGATGACATTCAGAAGATTGGTTAGCATAGAGGTTCCAGTTCTCTCTCCTGCAGTAGTATATCTTGAGGACAATATAAGTATCAAGAACCATTTTTTTAAAAAAATCAATGAATATACGCTTACCAGAATATTACTTTTTACAAGAAACCTCTGAGTGCTTTATTCTGGAAAACCTCATTAAAATATGTTAGCCATATAATTTTTTGCACAATAAATTTCCCCAAAAAAGAACTCTTATAAAATGTTGTGCCAGTCTTTTAATTTGGCAGTCTCTCATATTTATGTAGCAAGAATCTCCTGCCAAAATAGTATGTTATGTGAATGTATTTCATATTTAATTAATCTTCCCTACCTGCAAATATAGGTAATACCCTCCATCAAATATGAGGCAGGAAAAAGACAATGCAATGAAGTAAGAGTTTCACTTTCAATACCTGTGGTAGATCTCTTTCCAAAATCCTTATGCACTTGACCAAAAGTGCTTCTGAGGAACATGGATTAATTTACCACGTATATTATAAAACTGCAAGCCAGAATTCTTAACATATCTGGCTTATTACATTTGAAGGACAATATTAGTGCCAGCTTTTCAATCTCTCTTACTAGACCATTATCCTTCACTTAGTTGTCTCCAAATGAGCTAAAAATTTAAAGCAAGGAAACAAACCATGGACAAATTCCAGATATTGTTTGTGCAGATACATCAGGGGTTTTGATGGTGGATTAAGTACTTAAGCACAGAAAGGGCTTTATTATAAATAATTCTTTTTGCTGATATATATAAATGATACTGAAAAAGTAGAAGCATGAACTAATCTCCAAACACTTCAAAAAACAGGAGAAGGTGAAAAATAATTTTCATAATAATGTAAACTTCCTTTTTATAGCCTGGAAATTAATTCCATGACATTCATTATATTTCATTACATAATGGTGTACTTTAGATGGTTAACAATGCTACTACATGCTAAATATCAGCAGTATCTGTTAGAAACAATTGGAAATGTAATTTAAATTATCTTCATGCAGTAAATTAAATAAGGAATTTGTGATTTTAAATTTATGGACATATTTGTCTCTCAGATCACCACTCGAGCAGGAACCATCTCTTTCCAGTATGTTGAAGTTAAATAACAAAGATATTTCTCCAGAAATGCCAACAGCCTAACTTTGATCAATTAATATTGTCAATTAAATTAAAATAGGCCAGGGAACAATTCTACAGCAGTATTCTGGTTCTTTATGTTTAAAGACATATTTTATACGCAAGACTTTAAAACTGAATTTTGAAAAGTAAAAACCTAATGAGCATAAAGCATTTCCTTAATTCAATCTTGATTTGTAGTTTGCAATTCAATTTATCTCATTTGAAAGTCCTCTATGAAACATTAAAAAAAAATGCATACAATGCTAAAGTATTCCAAACAGTTTCCAAGTTCAGCACAACAAAATCTAGCACAAGAAGTTCAGATTTATTATTTTAACAGAGAAGTCAACAAAAAAATGATTATATAACTTCACTTTCAGTTCTTATTCAGTGCCCAAGTTAATTCACCCTGTTGGCAATTGTTACAAGAATTATGTTTGCCAACTGCAAACAAAAAGGATAAAGGGTGGCAACTTCATTATGGAATAAGTGTTATTGAACAACTTTTAAAAAGATAATAATGCATACAAACTTCCCTAGTTTTCTAAGGGAAAAAATAAACAAGTAGATGTTTTGTTCCCCCTGCAAGTAAAGTTATTAAAGCTTTTGTGAATTAAATTCAACTTCCTAAGCATTTTCTTAACTTTTGTTATACACATTCTATCTGCTATATTAGATAAAGGTGATGTAAGAGAAGGAGTAAACCTGGGAGCATCAAAACAGGAATAAGTCTAGAGTCTATGTAAGCCACAAAGTGACTAATTCCAACCTCTCTTGAATTCCATTGACCTTTATCTAACACAGTGTTTCCCAACATGAGATGCCTACGCCCCACAGGGGGGCAATTTGATTTTTAATGGGGGCAATTGGAACCTTGTTTAAACCAAGTTAATGGCCTTTTAGGCCTCCTCCATTTGAGTAGGAGTTCACTTTTTGAATAGTAAGAATTATATGTCACCGGGGGAGGGGGGTCATCAGGATTTTAGAGATGCTTAGGTGGGGCATGGCCAAAAAAAGGTTGGAAACCACTGATCTAACACCAAGGAAATGCTAATGTTAGTTGAATAGATTCTTGTTTATAGATATGATGATTAGTAATAAATCAGTTTAATTGGAACTTCTGTGTGGTCTTGATCTTGACAGGTACACAAATAAGGGCTAAAAGCCAAATCAATAGTCACAGAGAAATTACCAGTTTCTTCCATTTCTTTTTTTCATATCTCAAAAAAATCAAAAGTACATTGCCAACATTCAACTAAGAGTTCCATTTATCAGTTGTCCCTACCTGGAAAACTCTTGATGTGCCAAACTTCAACTCTCATGATTACTAGCTAGTAATAAGGTGAGGATCTCTATTTCTTCACATTCGCCATTCCTCTATGACAAGAGCGATCTTACAGGAATTCTAATTGGAACACCTCTAAGCAGTTTTCTTTGAATTATCCAAAATTATTTGAAAGAGAAGAAAAAAAACTAGACAATGCTGTAAGGCTGGAGCACCTACCAGTATTGGTCTGTCCTGCCTATATAGGTAATAGGAAAGACATCAGATAAAAGGGATGAGGCAATCCAGCTGGAGCACTTGCTATGCCAACCATAATTCTGCTATCCTCTACCAGAGTGATATGAGGAATGCCAGTTCCCTGTTCCATCCTGCATTGGCCAGCTTGTCTTTGTTGGAGAAGAAAAGGTGGGCGCCTGGGGTGAATTCTAGAAATATATGGATGGAAAGGACCTTGAGGTCTTCGTGTTTTAACTTTCTACTTCTTGCCTAGAATACGAACACTTTGTCAGTGCTGCCATTCTGCTCCTCCTCATCTCTGCTCCATGATGCCAAACTGCCATAAGCCCCAGGGGAAGGAGGAGCTAAGCTAACTCTTGGGAGGGAGAAAAATCAGACACCGAAACTATACCAAATACTGGCAGAGACATTGGGCAGCTGACCTCAAGGCTACAAGCGTGGGAATGGAATGCGGAGCATCACTGAGCCTGCCAAGAAACAGGACAGTTACCAAAACAATTTCTTTGAATTCCATTGAAACTAAACAGATAATAAATAAAGGGAAATTAAAAAAGGGGAAAGTAAACGGGCAGATTTCGCATACAAACCCCAGACCTGGCTTTACCTTGCTTGTAACCACTTATCTTTAGTAAAGTTACTCCTTTCACTAATAATGCAGTTGAAGGCTCTTCTTTTCTAAATGACTAAGTTTAAACTCAGACAAATGGCTGTCCACAACTCCAGGAGGCAAGATGTCCAATATGCTCACATCAAACATTTCCTTTTTATTTCAGGTTTGGCTCTCCCCTCAGCCCCAAATAGCACAAAATACTTTTTATCTGAGCAGGAAATTAAGGCTCATTGCCTCTTCTTGCCTAGAGGAATGAATGGCACCAGATCTGACCCAACATCATGAAAATCCTGGTGTTAAGACTGCAGCTTGCAGTCTTAGTCAAGACTTAGTCAAGTAAGAGCTTTAATCTTCTGTTGGTAAAATGGGTATTTCCTTAATTAAACCATGTAGTTGTTTGAGGTGCTATGGTTTTGATTATTAACAGTGGCCACTTTAGAATGCAACATTGGATTTGAAGTTGGTTTTCCATGTAGAGCAGAGGTCTTCAAACTTGGCAGCTTTAAGACTTGTGGACTTCAACTCCCAGAATTCTCCAGCCAGCTATGCCAAGTTTGAAGACCTCTGATGTAGAGCATTGGTAGCTTGATAAAAGAAAATTAGCCAGGCTCTACTTTAGCTACTTTGTTTTCTTGGGCCATTCCCCCCCCTTTACCCCACCCCCCTGTTATGCTTGGATAAAATGGAGATTCTGTCCCTAGAGTAATTAAGTAGAACCAGTGAAATCACCAATAAATTATCTGCACCATAATGGACCAATTTATGTTTCTGAATAGTAAAATAGAGTTATACTTTATGTGATCTATGATTTGGGACATATCATTTACATTTATAGCTTTTCCTGAACCTATAAATATAAGAATCCAGGCTTGGAAAAACGCAAACGTTTTTCCAAGCCTGATGCCTTTTAATGTACTGAACTGCAATCCCCATAATCACCAAACACAGTCCTAGCCAAGCAACACAGAATAGATAAATATCAAACCTAGGTATTATAAACATCAAACTTAAAAAAGTGCTGAAAAGTGAGACTAAATTATAGGATTTTGTGGATAGAAATTTAGCTAAGATTTTGTAAGAGGAAAAAGGTCAATAAACCAGCTAAAATTTTCAATGCTGGATCATTTCCAAGTTTCATTTACTTACAGTTTACTGCAGTTTTCTGCAAGGTGTTTATATGGTAAGCATGAAAGAGAAAAAAATATTTGCATTCACAAACTGATTCAAGTTAAACATTGAAGACTACCAGGCCACTATAGTAAAACTTTCAAACAAGCAGCATGGAGAGAATCATACACTATTGTCATTACACACTCCAGGTTCTGGAATCCTGTAGTTTACAAGAAAGAGTCAATAAGCAATAAACGCAGGGAGCTAGCATGTGACTATTTATTTCTGCAAGTCTAAAACTGAAGTTAACACTTTACAGAACTAAATCTAGCACATGCAACAACATTAAATGAGTAGCATTTTCGATTCCAAGGTCCATATTCAAGACTTCTACTGCATGCTGGTCTGTTAAAAAAATGGTCTACAACAAATTTTCCTGTATTAGA